AGAATATGGCAAAATTACATACTTATACTTCCTGGATTACAACAAGGCATTTGATTGTTTAAATTGGCGGCAACATTGCGATGTTCTGTAAAAGATGATATTTGATTCTCATGTTAAAACAATTATATAACAATATTATAACACTAATCATAGTGGATGGGAAGACTTTAGAACCTTTTAACTTGGAATATGGTGTAAAACAGGGTTGTGTTTTGTCATCGTTATTGTTTAACGTATTTGGCGAATATATCATACGGAAAACCTTAGACGGTTGGGAAGGAGGAGGAAGGTGGCAGAAAGATGGACAATCTCCGCTACGCTAATGACACGACACACGACAGCGAGCAGAAAATGTCGAGACTTATTGAACGAGTGGAGAAAGTGATCGTGGAGTTTGAGCTTCAACCGAACGATCACAAAACGAATCTTATGGTTATGCACGCTCACAGCATGGAAGAACAACCTAGCATTGAAGCTGTCGAGAACGAAGAAAAAATAATCTATCTGGGTGTCCATATCAGCAAAAATGCCGATTTGGTCAAGTAATTAGAAAAGCGATGCTAAAACGACTGACCAAAGTTGACAAATTTTGGAAAGAATTGCATATGACAACCTCAACAAAGTGCCCCGTTTTTCCAGTTGCAGTCGAGTCCTAAACTTTAAAAGCCAAACGCAACCAACATTGACAAGTTGGTTGCGTTAGAGATCTGGGTTTGGAGAAAATTACTGGAGATGCCTTGGTTAGTCCATAGAACCAATGTATATAAACTTGAAGAACTTAATATAAAAATTATATTGTCAGCCGAAATTAAACAGATTAATTTAGACATGTCAGCAATTCCTTTTCGATTAGTTGGCAATTACTACTAAATTGCTTCGCTGAATAAGAAATTGTTACATATTTATTATTTACTTGCAAACTGCATATTTAAAATGGAATTTTGCATTCAGACTTTCCTCATAGCCCGGAGGATAAAGCGCTGTTCTACATTATCGACCTGGGTTCTTTTTTCTTGGTATTATCACCCATGAATTCCTCCGACGATGCATTCGGCATAAAAATATTCTCGCACCTGACGAAATATACCGAACCGAATAAAAATGCGATATTCACTTTCAGCCGAGGCAATCACGGACGAATAATGCAGTGTGCAAACGTATCCGAAAGCGGAAAATTGATATTGACTCGGATTGGACGTGTCCTTTGAAAGTCCGCCAAGAAATGCATACATTATGGAAATTTATGATGCCTCTCACGGTTTAACGGAACTCATCTGTCAGGTGCAGAACGCCGTAAAAATCGGGAGGGTCATCAAGTTGACAGCTTAACCATCTAACGGGCGTTTGCACGTAAAATTGCAACGACAAAATAGGTTTCAGTCACGTTTCGGCACCGAAATGACTCACCTCAATTTGCTTGAGCACGGAAGGGCATTACCTATTTCAATTTTAATGTCACTAAATTTTTCCGCATAAATATTCTGTTATAATATTGCAGCGAGAGAAAACATATAGCCGGGTCTGCGAAATGGTGTCTAAATCTGAAACGGGGTTTGTTCCACCAGTAAGTGAAAACTAAGAGCCTCTTCAATTGTAAATTGTTTCCTTGCTTGATAAAAAAAATCTTTATTTAACAATGATACAGTGAAGTTTGTTGCAATTCATGTGTCGTGTAAGTATAAAATTAACTTTTATATGAAACAGATTACACTTAAGTCGGTAATCTCAGATAGGCAGAGGTGTCTCCGCATAAACAGTTATCAGTCATTTTTGATCTAGGTTCTGTTTCTGACTTGAGCTTATTAGAAAGTAAAGCATTTTGTTAATTTTTAACTGAGGAAACAATTAAATCAACTTATCTATTAGGTATTATGAGTGACCTTGTGAATGAGTAATAAATTTTTTAACACTACCGTGTCTTTCAAGAAGAGTCTGATATTAATAAAGTGATGCGATCATCGTTACCCGAAATACTAAAAACCAAGTTTCCAAAGGTTTAATGTCAGCCATAATTTCCGATAGGTCCATAATTTAGAAAGGAATGGAAATGCGCTATTAATCATGGTGATATCTTTTATATTCGATAACGTTACTTTAGTTAAGCAACACTTATTTTGATCAATGACTCAGCTTAAAAGAAACATATCAAGTATTAAATAAACAGTTTGGAAAACAAAATGTAGTTACGACAATGGTCAAATATTACTACTGTTCAGCTTAAAGCACTTAAATTTGTTATAGGGCTGTTATGATATGAATAACTAATTACTTTGCAATGAGTCCAAACTTTTGTGAGGTATCCCACATCCCACTTATTTATAAAATAGGAAGATCCGGATTTCCAAATAATTCGTTTCTTGCTTTGCAAAGATTTGTAGAATCAATTGCGACTCTCATATTACCACTATCTTTTTATTTTATATGCGTATTATGTTATTATATATGTACCTAGATCTTCAAACGTCACTTTTGACATAACACTCAAAATATGCCAGAAACGGAAAAACCGTATTATAGGATGCCTATATATAGGGTGTTCTAAGAAAATTGTTATATACTACTGTATACTTAAGGATATTTTAAAAATGTGTTCTGAAAATGTAGATGTAGAGCGTAAGAAAGAGTATTTATTTTTAATAAATTCATTTTTATATATTTAATAGAGTTCAATAAATCACCCTGTATTTCGAAATTAACAAAAATATGGAAAAAGTGAAAATGAATTTTAAAATTTAAAATAAAATTTCCTAATTTAAACGTCATCGAAACTTTAACCGTTGCGGATATACCAATATTTTCTCTATGGGAGTCGGTATATTGATATCTATCAGGACTAATAGTATTCTAACGGAATAAAAAGATAATCAAAAAAAAATGTAAAAACTGCTGTATTTCAGAAACCAACATTCGTGTAAGATCTTTTCGATTAATGATAGAGCAGCTTTGTTGGTGGTATCTCCAGTTAACGTTTGTCCCACACTTAAGCAAGCACATAACGTTTTTTAATGACGAATCTCAACTAAATCGGAAAATTTTGCGGTTCATGGCATAGTCAATAACTATCCGTATAGAAATTAACCCAACTTTGAATTACGTTATAGTAAAAATATTCCACTGCACATATTATAAGTGGAGAGAACTTCAGTGCACCAAGTTAATCAGGATGGAATGCCGCTCCTGGCAGATGCATTGTAAGTTTCGATTAAAATTTGCTTGGCTTGCTACGCACGGTTGTGGTCCCCCTGCTCAATTATAACTGACAGCGCTGGAATTCCAACTGTTCTAAGTTTAATCTAAATTATTGCACGAGGATCTAGAAATTGCAAAACTCATTAACAAAAGATGCACCTATAAATAGACGGTTTAAGAAAAAAAAATCTTATGCATTGTTTAAAGGCGTTCACTGGAAAACAGTTGAAAAATATTCAAGCGGTGTAGCAATTAGACACATAGAAATCGGCGCGAACGTGTAAGAAGTTTAATTTCATGTATCCTCACTTACCAAGCATGAATCTGGAAGTCTGTATCAATAGAAACTTTCTACATATTCGCATTCTAATGCATCCGCAGTTCTTCATAGATAATAAAAAGTTTCTATAGAATTACAGTTGTTAACTTTTAAAAAATGCATGTATAATGACATTTCATAGACATCTTACACGCCCTACCCAGGAAAGCGCAATTTGAACGAGAACGGCATAGATAGCGCCTCGTTGGATATAATCTGATAAATATAAATTAATATTTATCTACATATTGCAAACTAAAATAGCAATAAAACAGAAAAGAGTATTGTTTAATATTGTTTAAATATATAATTTTAATGGAATTGCAACATATACAACACAATAGACTTTTAAATAATTAAGTTTCATAAATAAGTGATGTTAGGTAAATTATTTAATAAAATCTAAAATTTCTGATAATCAAAAATGCGAAATTTGTGGAATCAACTAAATTAATAAACATTACGTACAGAAAATTTTGTAATAATTAGCTTAAAGCGGAAATGCCTGACAAAAAACGTTTGGTTGTAACATTTCATAAAAAAAATATTTTTACGACTTTACTAAGGTGTTCCATATAATTTTTCTGCCATCATTATTTTCGGTGATAGCACCAATACAATCACCAAATAACGTGAGAAGTGACCTCACATTGAATTGACACACGTGACTCAAATCTACCGAAAACATCCGATCGCTCCCAAACTCGTGACTAAAGTAAAGCGTTGAGCCTTTAATAATTAAAATAAACTAATTCTAACTATAATTAATATATGAAAATTTTGCGGAAACTTGAGTTTTAAAAATCAATATTGCAATTTCAGAAACTGGATAATTCCGGCATCTCGTTGGCCTTACTGGGACATCCGGTATCTAACTAATACGATATAAGACACAGACCTGCCGTTTGCTTTATGTTGCATTAAATACCTTGCACTAGAACTTATTAAAAATCAGATTAGAAAAGGTAAAGGATATTTAATATATAGAAGACATCATTCGAAAATTAATTTTAATAAACAGAACGAATTGCTGAAGTAGCAACTAATAAATTAAGGCACTACGTCGCAACAAGAATGTTCTCACGAGAGATTGAAGAGTTTAACCAACATCTTGGAATACCATGCTTTCCCTTCAATTGTCAAAATATCATTAATATTTAATTAAATGAATTAAAAAAAAATATCCGATCGCTTCCAAATCAGTGACAAAAGTACCGATGTCTTAATATGTCTTTGCAGACGATAAGTGGGTGCTGTAATGCATTAGAAGCCATTAAATCACGTTTTCTTTTTAACTTTTTATATATAGAATGTCCTTCAACATCCATAAGGTTCCAATTCAAGAGAAAATATAATAAGCCAAATTTTGAAAAGTTTACTTACTTACTTATTTTGCTTGGAAATAAATCCAGGTATTGCAATTGAAAAATCTGATAGTTTGGATCACGCAAAACGGTTTTCGATAGATCGACAGGGCAAAAGGAAAACAAACCTGAACGTCCTCCCCGTTGAATGCAAAATAAGCTTCGGCTTTGACGACACCCAACATCAGATCGTATCGGGACAACTTGGCAACCACGGATTTCCGTAACAGCACGTTGTTTAAAATGTTGATGGCGTTTTGAGGTTCCACTTTCGGCGGCTTACTGTTTACGCTAACGCTGTCGTAGTCGTTGTAGTGTGAATTCTCGCCCCCTGGAAATAAAAAATAAAACAGAAAAGCGAATGATATGATGATGTTTGCTTTCGGGGAATGCCGCTTTTTCGAAACGAAAGGTCGGTTTTATATTTGCATTGAAGGCGAATTCTATGGCGGCAGCAAAAAAGAAATATGCGGAGAGGAAAGTGCTGTCGTCTTAAAAGGTTAAATACGCGAATAAGGTGAGTGCTGCACTTTTCGCTTGCTGCAGTCAGTGATTTAATTTTACGGATGAATGGGGCCGTTACTATTGATTAGGAAAATTTCGTTCATTTAAAGTTGTTATTAGGGAAATATCGCAAATGAGATTTTGAAGTTTCCTTATTAGCGAAAGTTACGTAAAGTCATTTTTAGAAATATTCGGAATTATTTAATTACTATTACTCATTGTGTGTCCGTTATTTTGATGGGAGTGGTCCTTCCCACTTTAGTTAGAACCACTCCAAATAGTTCAGCAGATGTTTGCTAATTAGCTTATCATCATCGGGGTCTTATAATACGTCTTTTGGCATTCATTTTCCATTTCAATTAAAGAACAACTGTTTAGATTCCAACAGATGACTAGGTTTGAATAATAAGCAAAAATAATTATGACCTTAGATATCAATGTGAGGTTTTCAAAATGATTATTCCAATATCCCTTAATCCTCATATTCGAATGGATAAGTTTTGTATGTATCTCTTTAGTCCTTCATTGCAGCTAAGAACACTGTAGAGGCATGTTCGGTTCAACTTGTATTTTCATAAGATCCTCTACCCCATTTTCTTGAAAAACGAAGGATATTATATGTATTTATATATTGTGGGTTTTTACAGCTTTCGTAGCCGTATTCCGTATCCTATTATCCATATTCGTTGATTTGTCCTGTCTCCATCATTTAGATTACTCCTAACCTTGGTCTACCCCTTTTCCCTCTTTGTTCGAGACTCCATTCGACTATTCTCCTTGGCCATCTCACAGTATCTATGTATTCACGTATCGAGTATATTAGTTGTCTGACAATTTCATCTGTTACTCTATTCCGAATTGTGATTCTGCAATTCGTCTCCACTATCCTATTTCTATTGCCATAAGCTGTTACGCTTTCTATTACGGATTTATATATTCCAATTTTTGTTCTGTTATACACTACACATACAAAAATCATCATTTACTTGGGTCTAAATAGATTTTAAAAAGTGTCGAACCGATCCTTGTCTCAGGGTATTGGTTACGGACAAGCTATCAAACAGTCTGTTTCCTATTTAAACCCCTATTATTTTCATTGCAATAGATTTGTTAAAGGAACACAGTCATATTCTTTTTGAAGATCTACTAATGCCAAATGTGTCTTAAAAGTCGCAAGTCATTCTTTTTCGTATTATTTGTCTTAAGACAAATATCAGTTGTTGACCTACTGAAACCCGTTCCATACTTCCCTTTCTCTTCGCTATTTTTCGAAAGACGAAGGATATTGATTTACGAAAAAAAAGAAAACAAAGTGTAGTGAACTTTTACAAATTAAAGGAAGTATTTTTAGATAATGAATCCTCACAAACAATTAAAGTGATTTTACGTGGTTAAAGTTGGAATATAATATAAGGAGTGTTTGGCAAAGCTGTAATTTTCACTTTAGAGAAACAAAAAGAATGGGTTATTTATGCCAGCTACAAAATCCACTTAAATTGTTCACAAAAAATTTTCTGTTGGAGTCAGGCTGAAGGTTTAATAATAAATTTTTCAATGTTTGATGTAGACAAAAATATCATTCAATTCTCTTTTTCATTCAACCAAGTCAATATGATTATGCAGAAATCTTATAGTGGATTTTTTTTTCTCCTCTTTTCGCTTTCCTTAAATTGCAAACATCGCGAATTGTTCGATGATAAAGCGAATTTAGTGAATTTATAGATTTATTTTACAGGCATGCAGGTAATTTTCAGAGCTACAAATCGCCTGTTATTGGTTTATAAACTTGTATGAACAATACAAGAACGCTCGAATGGCACAAGTTAACTTAAGTCGTAAACTTTATGTGCTAGAGGACCGTTGTGAATGCAGTAACGGTTGTTAAGATGGGACTGACTCGAAGTTGAGTACGGATTTGCGGCGTATTGTTTTTGTTTGTTTTGGCATATTCAAATTGATTTTAACAAATAATGTAAATATTGTTATCACAAAAAACGTATTTTTTAAAAAATTTCTTTAACATAATTTTTTTTTACACTAGAATATACCTACACGCTGTACTGTTTACAATGTTTAAACTAATTTGACAAGGTGCTGTTAAAAATCTAGGAGACAACTAAACTAAAATAAATTTTAAGGTATATTTCATTGTTTCCTTTCTTATCACATTCGTATCTAAATGCCGATCATGGATTTGTATAGTGATTTAAATTCGTTTTATTCATTTTGCAGTAAAATAATAATGTTGTCTACATGAATAATGATATGCGCGATGTACTTAAGACATTTTTTTCTGCTAAATTGAATTGCACATGACTATCGCGTTCGCAATTTTATCATGGGGAATTTATATGATGGGCCTCTTCTACGTACGTGATGGAGCAGGAGGAGAAGGTTAACGGGTTTTGGTTAGACCTCTCCTTGTGTTGTTTTATACCCTCCAAATGAAATGGTCTAGAGACCAACAATGATGTCTTCTTAAAGTTCGATAATGATTTCAGGGATTTTGGGGAATGGAATTAAGTTTAGGTTTATAAAGATCAGTATTTATAAGATATTTAATGACTTCCAATCTTATCTTCGGATTAATGAGATATTTGCGCAGACTTGGCAAGTTTTGCCATCTACTTAAAAAAAAATTGCTGATAATGTTATAATTCAATAAAAAATAGAAAGGACCTTTTCTTAAAAAAATGTTTTTAACTTTCTCAGCGAAGTTACCAGCAACACAATATAAGTAGCTTATCAAGTAAATTCATATCTGAAATTAAAAAAGCTTTGGAATAGTAAATAAAGTAAGATCAGGAAATGTAACAATAAAAATTTAGCTTGAATTGAAGATTTCACAAACGGATTAATAAAGTGTACACTTGTTGCATGGGTTTTGTTTCGAATTTTACTAATAGGATTAATAGTATTTGAAAAAATATTGAAAATTTTCCAAATTTCCAGGTTTATTTACACAAAAAATTATTTTTCATTAAGTATAACACTTTAATAAATAATTATACGGTATCATCCGGTATTTGAAGTTGCAACCCTACACTCCAATAAAATAAATTGAAAGAATTTTTCGAGATCTGTTTTTTCTTACTTCATCCTTAAGATACCCTCTGGATATACATAAAAGTTCCAGTTTGTTGAAATGGTTTTTAAAACGTCCCCAAGAAGCCCTGCAGGTGAATTACAAAAGATTATATTGCGGCAAGTCTCGTCGTCCTAAACTACGATTGTCTGTTTGAGAAAATTGAGTATCCAGCGCTTCAGTTTAATATAGAGTTTTTTAGCGTTGCTGGCTATTTTACATATATTAAAATTACAAAACACATAGATATAATTTAAAATGTATACTAAAAATGAAATATTCAGAGAACTTCCTCAACAGACATGTTAATAATATTTCAGTTTCGTTAACGCTAACTTGTCAAATTGCATCAAAAAATTTTTATTTATTTTATTTTATTTGTTTTATTGCATGTTATTGCTGATTAAAGCGGAATTTCGCACAAGGGGTTCATCAACAAGAAAGTTAGCTTGTTATAATTAAACGTATACAGGGAGAAACCACACAGGTAATAGTCAACTTCTTGTGCAACAAATCGGAGAAATGTGAGGTTTTATGGAGAAATTTAAGGATATATCTGAAAATCCATTGTTCCATGAAATTTAAAGTTATGTTTATGTAAAATCATTTTTTCCATTAAAGGACCGTGGACAATTAATTAAACAAACTTTTTCATTTTAACATTCGTGCACATCATTTGATTTCAAAAGATTTTAGATTTGAAGAAAAGCTTCATGTAAAAGAGATGTAAACGCTAAAATTCCAGTTTATATATAAGTAATTCATTGAAATAAAGTAGGAAAAAAAATCATTATTCGCTTGTTGGATACTTATTGAAGAAATAAGAAATAAAGAATTTTGATTTGTTAATAACCATGGGTCTGAAATTTTCCCATAAAAGGTGTGTCTCAAAACCCACGCCACCTAACAAGATGTGGTTTTCATATTTGAACTTGAAAATTTCGAAACGACAACAAATGTTCACGCTTGCAAAAAACTAAAAAAATTGCGATAGCGCCATTATTTAGAAGGTATTTGATGTCAACGTTATTCGAAGCTGACGTAAAAGATATATGCAACGAAATTTGAATTAGATGCTACAAGGTGTTCAAAATAAACGAATATATTAGGATCATTTTAAATTGTAAGATCTTTTAAAAACCTACAACTTTTATTGAGTATGTCGTTTCTAATACATTGCGATTTATTTTAACTTTTACAATATTTAGTTGGCCATAAAAAAACTGTTAGCCGACAGGACACTGCGAAGATTAAAAAAATTACAGGAGAAAGAAAGTTTGTTGGAGCCGTAGATAAAGCAACAGACTGTTATTAACAATTTTGGTGAAATTCACGCCCAAATTTGAAATTCATAGAAAAAGTGGATAATATTAAATAACTATTTCTACAAATTTACTTATTTTGTTTTAATCATTATTATGGCGCAATAAGTGTTGAAAAATATGCTCTTCTACTACTTTCGTATATTTTCTTGGACATTCCTTAGCATAATCAATGTTATTCTCCTGCACGGGTCCCGAATCCTATTTTCCATATCTTCTGGTATAGTAGGGGGATTTCTGTGGGTAATGATTATTTTAAAATTCTCAACCTCGTGGATGGTAATACCGCATTTGTTTCTTAACTTCTTGAAGAAGTTGAGGTAAATCCTTCTGCAAAAATATTTAAATATCTGGGGCTGTTAAGTGGTTCGTGTAAAAAATATGGTCACCACGCATTAAGTGACCATTGGTTTTGGTTTTGCACTTCCCGGACCCAGAATGGATTAACTGTTGAATAATAATGTATGCTACTACAATTAACTGCACCATTACGGCGAAAAGTAGCTTCATCGCAAAATATTATTTTAGACACAATATTTGGATCGGCCTCTGTTGCTTAGTTTATAACGGTGCGAAGTGTACCCTTTGTTCAAAGTCATGGTCTAGAAATTTTGCGATTAACTGTGGACGCTAGCTATTTGACGTCTACTGACCTGGGGATTATCTTGAACTTGAAGTAAATTTTTAAATTCTTTTTCCTCATTGGTAGCATTCCGGTTTACTACTTTCAGTTTTTCATATTCCATAAATACCACGAACACTGTAGATATTGTCTAATTGGTTAGTCTATTAGGGTACTTGTAAAGTCTTATGGAAAATAAAGTATTTTTTTCTGCCTCGTCCAGTATAAAAATCATTAATCAATCAATTAATTCCAAGAAAATCCATACTTACTTTTTTTTTAATTTACTGACACCACGCTAAATTTTATGAATTTATTCATGGCCATCTAATGTTTTAGACAGAAAGAAGGGTAAATGTTGGAAAAGTTAAAATAAATCGCAGTATTAAAAATGGTCTATGACATACTAAATAGAAGTTATAGGTGTTTGTAAGGTCTTTCAGAAAAAAATAATACGAGGGTCACTTGAAAAGTTTCCGAGCTCACCCTGAAGATGGAGGCACTAGTTACGAAAGAGCTAGTAATCGTAGTGGTGGAAATCTTGACAGTTACGTTTGAGTGAGAGGATGTGAGTGTGAATGGCAATACGCCTACGCAAATAAAAGTTGAGTTGAAGTCTGTGTGTTGCACAGTCATTTACCGTAAGAGCTTATTAGATGATGAACATTCGGGACGTCCAAAAACTGTAACTATCAACGATAACATTGCTAAAGTTCAATAAATTTTGTTAAACGTACCGTCAAATTAAAGTGAGACAGATAGTAGAGGTTATGAAAATGGCCGAGGAACCTGTTTGTCATATTTTAAATAAAAATTTAGGAATAAAAGAGCTGTTCGCACGTTGGATGCCGGTTTTACTCACGTTGATTCAAAAACGTCCTCTGTTAGCGCAGTTTTGGTGCAATAAATGCGAGTTTTATCACCGTTTAATTACTGTAGATGAAGCTTGGATACACCAATATGCCCCCAATCAAAAATACAGCCAAAACAGTGAACTGCGAAGGGGAAAAAAGCGAAAACCTATTTTTTGGCTGGGAAAGTGATGATGAGAGTTACCATCAAAAAGTAGAGAACCATTACAGGAGCATACGTGACAAGCTGAGGACAGAAATTTGGGCAAAACGGCCACATTTGCAAAACAAAAAATCCCGTTTCACCAAGACCTCTCATACTTCCGCGTTTACAATGGCGAAAATCCATGAATTACGGTTTGAACTGCTTGACCATGCACCTTACTCACCAAATCTATCCCCAAGCGACTTCTTTTTGTTCCTCACCTTCGTGAACAAATATTTTCTGGAGAAAAATGTTGGGTACTATTTGAACGAGTGTGAGAAGTGTATAGAAGTACAAGAAGACTATATAGAAAAATTAAAAATGTCTCGTATCATTGTTCGGTAGGAAAATTTTTAAAGTCACCCTCGTATATATGATGTGCAATTTAAGAAAATCGATATTTTCAAATCTAAAATGATGCAAATATACTCGCTTATTTTGAACACCCCGTAGCATCTATTTAAAATTCCGTTCTATATTATATCTTTGCGTCATGTTTAAATAACGCTACTGTCAAATATGACAAAATAATCAAAAATAATAGCGCTGTTCCAATTTTTTTGCAAGTGAGAAAACTAGTATTCTTTTAGAAAAATTAAAATATTGGAAAAACTCTTAGGTTTAGGTAGTTATTATTATGAATAAAAAAGTTGAAGAATTTTAAAGTATAATCAAAATAAAATTTGAGAATAGGCTATTTCATTTAGAAAAATATATATTTTATTCGCTGCGCCTTTTTGAGCCACTCAGTTTAGAATAATTTTATATTGTGCATCCAACTCAGGCAACACCAAATCATCCACGTAAATCGAAAAGTAGTTTATGTGTATTTGTTTTGCTGATTGTACTTTACGCGAATTATATTTGTAATAAATAAAAACTGGAGAACGAAAAGGCGATTCAATACTGATGTTTTTGAATGACATAATTTCTAAAAAAATATTCAATATTCCATGAATTTTTCGGTTCTGATGACGTTTTTTTTACAAACTTTACTCCGAAAAATATATGACTCCTTTCACTACGTCCATTATAATACAAAAATACCGTTTTTATTGATATTAAATTTTCTTTTAATTTAGGGCCGCGTGAAATGTCACGCAAAGCAAAGATTAGACTTTACCTGGTGGTTCGCCGGTATCGATAACGACCCCATCTACGCTGGGCCCGAAGGCAAAGGAAAACTCCGGTGCGATTACCGGAGTAGAGAGTAGCAGCTCTACCGGCTTCTCTCGTAGGCACTTGAGTAGGTGTGGATGAGGCAGTTCCGGCGAACAGTTTGCGTGAATAGCCACTTGCGCAGCATATCGCGACGGCTCTTGCACTAACGCCCAAGGAGACAAGGCGGACCCTGACATAAGAATTGCTCTATGGAATAGCACACCTGCAACAAATAATTGGCGTCACAGATTGGGTTCTTATAGCAAAATTCGATAATCTTCAATAGAGCCATTTTTCTAGGTCCAAATTGAAAAGAAGTTAAAATAGGGTCGATCAATCTTAACCGACTAGACTGATGAAAATTCCTGCAATTTCTTATCAATTGCGTTTTTGGCAGATCCCTATGACCACGGATGAATTTTAGTTGAAATTTTTTCCTCCAATAGCGAATTAAATTGGAATTTTTTATAAAACATTCGTTGCCATGGAAATGCGTCAACAAAATCAACCTACTGGTGTGGTATTTTCTAATCGAATACTACACGAGATCGAATTAAATCAGGAAATAATTTGGCCTTCAGTGGTATTACTAGCGAATAGATCATTTAGATATCGGAACTTAATTTCAATTTTCTGTCAGTAGTTTGTAGTTGAAAATATCAAAATACAGTAATAGTAATACAGTAATTGTCTTATTGTCTTGCAGTCCTTGTAGTTGGAATCGACATAACATATTTGGAATTCGAAATAAATAAATTCGAATTCGAAATAAAATAAAAAAAATTAATATTATAGACGGTACGAGTTTCAGAGAAAATTTCATGGCAGATTCCTTCAGGATTCCCTATACCCAATGTCAATAAATCCTTAGATATGAAATGAAAATTGAGAGCTGATTTATAGCTTAGAGGGCGTCAAAAATTTTTTCTGTATATTATTGAAGGGTGCGATGTGTAATTTAATTTTACATTGATTGGCTGTACTTTTCTTGTAATATCATATTTTCTATCAAAAGTCATTCAAAATTCAAAGTCCTTTTGACACGTTTGACACGTTTTTCGTTTATTCCCTCAAATACGTTAAAAGATGCCCAGGCTTTAGACTGTATAAAAAAACTAGTGTATGTCCCCTACAGACGCACATCGAAGATCCATTAAGTGACCAATACTAAATGGAATTTATTCAGTATAAACAAAATGTCATATAGCAGCAATTTGTTGGAGAACTCACGACTATCGAGTTGTAAAAAAATCGAAATAAACTCCGCACAACCCTAGCAGAAAGAAATCTTGGAAAGGAAACAACAGAGTCTATAACACTATTTGTATTACTTTTCACGCTTTCGACGGTATAACTGTGGGTTACAAAATAGCACAACAAAAACACGCGAAATTGCACCATATCAACAATTTTGTACAACAGTTGAAGTTAATACAAATCTACTGTACTCTTTCAGAAACTGGAATAAATTGAATTTTTGTTAAAATATGGGTTACAAACCGTTTAGAAAAGAATTTCAGAAATTTGCTGGTAGCAGTTTACGCCGCGAGAGAGGAGACATTGAAAGTGAACTGGTCACTTTTTCGACCTGCTACCATTGTTGTGGGAAAAACTACGGGCAAGGGTCAAGATATTGAGCACTTGTTCTAAGAATTTCGAGGCTAATTTCAAAATTAGTCTTAGACACGTACTGATACAGTTTTTGAATTTATTTATTTGAGTGGTTTCGATTATTTCCATTCTGTGTTTATTGTTTTTTATATTTCAGTCTTAATTTCATGTTCTAATTAAAATAAATTCTTGCCGTTTCCTATGTTCACTTAATACGAACAATAATAACGTTCATTCTTATGAAAGTTTCATTCGTAAGAGAGAACTAACATTCAACTAAATAAAGACATTTTTATTATTTTATATATGCATTGTAATTCGCTGAAGATGACTTAATGAGACGTCAAAACTTCGGTATAGAGACAAATTGGTTTCAGTTACCAATCCTATTTTTTAAATAAAGTTTAACACCAGCGTTTATAGACACTGGTCCCAATATTGTCGAAATAATTGGTCATTACGGGCTTGAACCATCTTTTAGATTCACCATGTATATTGCAAATATTTACTAGATGGTATCCAAATGGTCTTTTATGAGACGACCATTTTTTATAAACAGATTTTCAAATTTTAGTACCGGCGAACAAAAATAAACCCTGAAACTAATTCAGAGGTTGTGTAGCACTATTAAAATATATACAGGGCGTCCTGAAATTAGACGTCAATATCTTAACTACGTATTTTATGTTCCTTAAAATAGAGGCAGAAATGAGCTATAATGGGTATTTATATTCCTCTCACAATTTAAATATTTTATTTTTTGATTTTCACTAACACGGGGACAATTGCGAGTTGTTCTTTCCATCGCCGCTTCCGCGTAGCGTAACAAAATTGGAAATGTTGATTCAAATACATTAAATTTATTACCGTGAAATCGACCCTCTCATTCGAAATTAATTTTGTACGATGTCCAATACAAAAACCTCGCCGAGTGGAGATTTTTTCAGTTTTAAATGGGCTAAACTGCGATTTTATGTTTAAAAAACAGCGAAAACGGTAGTCGGACAGTATTTAACCAGCTGGCGCCAATCTCACATGTCGTTAATTTCGAGCGGATCCCTTTGGTCCAATTAAAATGATTATTACACCCTTCGCATTTGTCCTGATTATAACCGGAGTTTACGTGTATGCGAGAGTCCAGATATTTGATCATTGGAGCGGGCAGTCCAATGGACTTTCCTCAGTTATTAGCGTACGCGACGAATCGTTCGTTCTGAAAGGTTCACTACTGACCGCTGTGCTGGACCGCAGTGAAGATATTCAGTAATTTCTGGCCCGTATAAATCCGTTTTGACGCATGGCGCGTATTTTTGCTACACCGCTCCAGATTTCAACTATTTACCTAACTAAGTTATACAGATAGTGAAAATTTTATCGTAGCCTCATTTAAATCATGTTTGTTAAGATTTTTGGGCAACATTTCTCATCTTGCTTTATTACTATAAAATCTCGGAGTACCTTTAAAGCAATTTATATTCTATTTGTGAAGAAAGGTGGGGTAACTAGGTCATGATTTTACACTGAATTATTGTTCAAGACGTTTAGAAATATAGAAAACAAAAAACATGATACAAATTATCTCTATATACAGAAATATCTGAAATAAGTTAACCTACATTTTTAAATAAGAACTAGAGTAACAAACAGAGGAAAGAGTGTAGCCCGTAATTCCTTTCTTGTAATTCCTGGTATTATGCTGGAATTCCTTGGAACTTTTTGCGGAATTCGCTCATATTGTAGACAAGAATTTCTTATTACCTTATTTAAAGACAGTGAACACTCATGATGACAGATTTGCTAAGAAGTATTCCCAAATACGGTAATAGAAAAAATACATTTTATCCGCGAAAACCACCTGAGTTTTAAACTTAAACGATTCTTTAAGTAAATAAAATAATTCCAAGTTTCAAAAATACAAACTCAAACATTATTATCGGGCACTTGGAGTTACGAAATCAGCTTGGTTTAGTCTACAAGATTGGTTAGATCACTCAAGACGGCGGTATTGAAATCCTCGTACCTTGCTGATTTATTTGATTAAGGCTTCGAGAGTTTGTGTACGATATCTTATTTTTGCCTCAGATTCTTCCTTCACCTCTTCAAACTTCATTGTTTCATCATGCCTTTTTAAAAATTTAATCATAAATCTTTGGGTATCAATGTTTTGGATTATTACAATGTATGTCCGAAACTACATTACTAATGGCAAAAGATGCACGCTATTTGGGGAATTTGGGCAAGTTTACCACAGACATAATCCAGCGACTGGACCACCCTGTTTGCCGAATTTCACAAGGCTAGATCAACCAAAAATCTGACTGACAATACAAAAACAGAAGGCGACTTCGGTTCGTTTATGGCAGTCCGCCAACTAGACTAGAACTATTTGTTTTGCCTGAATTGAATTTTTAGTCTGAAGTAGTTCTAAACAACAAGTAATGTGACGAGAGTGTTGGCGGTAAACTTCACAGGGAAAATGAAAACAGTGGTCGACGTAATTGTCAGATTAAATATTAAAAACAGATGTGTCGTTTTTTATATTAAATAAATAAATTAACATCATATGTTTATTTTGTTTAAATAGATAAATTAATGAAAAATCTAATATTAGGCACTTGCGAGGTATGAGAATTATTTGACCATATACAGAATCGTGATACCTAATAGCAGATATCGGTGGAAATTTGTAATAATTTTTGCAAATAGCAGTTATCGTCTAAAAACTCGATGCTTTTACTATTTTCTACTGGTAGCTGATGTAAACACCCAGTGACGACCAACAAGTTCACAGAAAATTGGGAAACAAAACAATTCGGAATTGTTGTGCAAAGGAAAACAGTTTGTCTGTTATTTAAGTCCATTCCCCTTTGGTGAAAGCTATATAAATAATTATAAGCATAGGCAAGCAAAACAAAATATGGCATTTTTCTCTTTACAAATTATTGTGTCACATCACATGCTGAAATAATGGGCTGCTTTTATTATTGTTGTTTTATGATCGTGACATGTTAGCTTCAATAAAAATTATTTTTTAAAGGATATTGTCATATCGAATTAATTATAAGTTGCACGAATGCCAATATTTTTGGGCACTGTTATTTTTGAAATCGCAAGTAGTATGGAAATGGGTGTTCTCAAACCATCCGCATCTTTTTTTTTTCAACTTCATCAACAATGAACAATTCCAAATAAGGAGGATATGCAATAACATAAAAATCCTATCTAAACTGCAATATGATCGTATATATTAGGGAGGTATTTGACTGTGATCCTCCTGCGAGGCTGTTTTCAAGTTCGAAGCATAAGGGTAAGTACCTGTACTCTATTTGTCTAACAGGTAAGTTTGAAAATAATCATTTTTGTCTTCTGTGCCTGTCGATTAACAGCATTCTTCTTGTTGTATTTTTGTGTCTTCTACATAATTCTTCGATTTGTAAACAACAACAGTTTTTATAACACTATAAATTATATTCGCGGTGGATACAGGTACGTCATAAGAATACAGATAAATGTTTATTAGAATCTTACAATTAAAATTTTTTTAAAGGTCCCTGTTTTTTAACACTTTAAAATGTGGAGACAGTGGAATGAAGCAGATGTTCCCCTGTTTGA